TCCTTGACTTGAAGTCCTCTCCCGAGGCTTACAATGTTGCCTGTTGGCTATTCCTACTTAGAATCTGTAAGTTCGTCATGAATTATAATTTTCTTTTGTTATCTTAGTTAATTTGTCCTGAATATCATTTTGCAGTTTCAATCTATGCTATTTTCCTTTTAATAGTTTTAAGGTGAAATAAATATAGATTATTTAATAGTTCTTTTGTTCATATGCTTGCTGAAGTTTGGGGTTTCTTATTGAGGAAGTTCAATAGATGAAAATAACAGTTACTACACAAATTGCATCAAACCAAATGTATTTTCTTTGATTGATACTCTTGCTAATATTAAGCAAGTGAAGTAAGATCTAATCTTAATCGGATTGGGTATGACATTAATTTTATCCATGAGATGGTGTTCGGCTTCATAAGTTGTCATAGAGCTTTAAAATTTAATTTAACTGATTTGCTGAATAGTATTGTTGTATGAGTTATTCATGGATCTCTTTGTTCTGATTAATTGTAAGGAATGGAAAAAATTGAGCTTCTTGAAAGCAAGCAAGTAAAGATTTAATCTTTTTCAAATATATATGATCTTTTCCTCACTTGATACATTGGAAGTATCTGCATCTATTGATAAGTGATATGCGGGATAAGATTACCTTGGGTTTGTATTATCTATGCCGAGTAAAATATTGAAGGTGGATTGATTGAGGATTGTCCTATACAGAATAAGGATTAAATTTTTACTAACCACATAGAATACAATATAACTTTCCAACTTTTAATGGGATTAATATGATTTCCACATCAAATAGAAATCAAAAGAATCTGCTTTTGTTCCCAATATATAGAGGTGTTCAATTGTGTTTTATTCATCCCAATTCAGAATTATTACCCATAAAGTTCTTTCCTAATTAATTCCTTGGTTTCAATTTTGAGTTTTTGCTTCTTTGGGATTACACTGCCTCAAGGGTGTTGTTTATATTTTACAGTGTTCTTAAAGATATATTTTATACTTTGCATTCCAGATTTTTCTTTTTATGATATATATTACAAACAAGTCAAGCTAGGCAAAATTGTAGATAATATTACAATTTTCTTCTGTATTTATGGAGAAATGCTTGATGTTGTTGATGGTGAAGCTCAACATGTTGAATGCAGTAAGATCCAAACACCAACTGATGTGGTGGTCGCGCCTTCCGATACCTTAGCACATGTACCTGAAGGTGATCTTCATATATTAGTTATACTTATTTCCCTCCCATTTTGAATGATCTTCATATATTAATTGACATTTCTAAATGCTAATTACTATTCTTTGCTCGTGGATTTCAGAATCATATGGCTTCTCAACTCTTCTTAAAATTCGTCTTACGTTAGGATTCTTTGGCAACTGACAATTTCTTT